CTCGTCCCATCTCTCTGCTCGTTCGTTTCGCGTTTTTTTGCATTCGTTTCCTTTACAAGCGACGAATTCCAGCGTGCTTGTTTCGCGTATCTATATCGGAAGAGAGTGGTTTGTGATCGGAGAAAGAGAAATTTAGAGAGTTGCAAATTACTTTGCTCGAAATTCTCCTCGAAAGTTCAGATCGGATTCTCGCCTTTGTTCCTTCGTCGTTTACACCTTCAGACAGGGTTATAGTGTTGATTTCCCATCGCTGAGACGGGAAAAGAATATATGTACATGCTAATTTTTGATAAATCCCTTTATTTAATAGAAAAGAAAACATTTCTTACTTGAAATTAAACAAAAAAATTCATCTAAATTTCGTAAAAAAGTTAAGCTTCATGAAAAATGAAATTTTTCATAACATAATCGCAGAAATAAAAATTTAGTCCGTGTGAAATTACGAATTTAATGATAGACACTAAGACAATTTTGTAATGGGATTTTACAAAACTGCGCGTTCATATGACGCCTAACAGGGTCAACAGTATTCAATTTGACGCCAAATGGTGTCATTTGTAGATAAGATGTTAATATTAATCCGAAAGTTTGTACGAGTATCGGAGCAGTTGCAAACGGAATGAATAAGAATGAAACTGGTGATCTCGTTGAGGCTAGCTTCCCTTAAATGCTGATCGCAAATTCTTCAAAACTCGCCCGTGCTCGCCAAGTTTTGCGCGTGGTTCCGTCTTTGTTGGCCCGTTATTCCATTTGAAACTTCCCTCTCACCACGTGCTATCCACGCTTAAGGACACTCGTACCTGCCACTCAACCGCTCCGACGCACGCACGCATTTCCACGCGTCTAACTTTCTAAATCACGCAATCGCAATTTCGTGCTCGAAAAACTCTCTCTCTCTCTCTCTCTTATCGTGTCACTGTATCGTGGAACAATTCGACGGAGGAGCCGACTCTGAAGCGAGACTGACATTTTGAAACTTTCGTGATTAACGAAATTGAATCTGGAAACCCGACACAGCTAATTACGAACTCTCGAAAAAAGGAAATATGTTGTTTAATTCGTTTTCACATTTTTCTCTTCATCGTTGTAGAGTTCTCTCTAGAAAAAAGGAAAGAATCCACGGGAATTTTAAGGACGAAGAACGAAACGTTTCTGCGGATTCGTTTAATTAATGGGATTCGCGATCGATGTTTTTCTTGTAACAGCCTGGCCCACCTGAAGCGATCACGGCTGTTCACGCGGCCCGTATGTGGTTAATACCGCGGTTGAGAATGCGACAGCCTCGTTAAACGTCAGTGTCGTGCTTTTTAAACGCGCGCGTGTTCGCTCTCCGTCCTTTTTCCGAGCGAGTTCTTGCTGGCTGGCTGGCGTCCGCGGCAGCGCCGATTACAAAGTCAAAACTCCGAGATTTCCGTTCTGCGCGAATTGATCGATAGCTCTGCGCGTGGGTGGCGATCCGTCCCGCTGTCGCGAAAGTTTTCGACAGCGATGGAATTATAATGCAGATTTTGATTATGAATAGAAAATCGTCTGTATCTGTTCGACGATCACTCGACCCGACACTGGGAAAATTCCAATTATTGTCTTTTTGACAAGGTTCTCGAGCTTTTAGTCTCTTTTGTTTTCGGTTCTTTTAACAAAAAGAAGATACATTCGGGTTGATCCACAAATTGTTTCTCAGTTTTTTCTGATATTCTTACAGTTTTCAATTTGCTGGGGAAATTGTTTCCGATGCTCAACGATTACTGGAAAAATCTCAATTACTGTGTTTTTGACAAGGTTCTCGAGCTTTTAGTCTCTTTTGTTTCCGGTTCTTTTAACAAGAGAAAGATACATTCGGGTTGATCCACAAATTGTTTCTCAATTTTTTCTGATATTCTTACAGCTTTCGATTTACTGAGGAAATTGTTATCGATGTTCAACGATTGGAAAAATTCCAATTATTGTGTTTTTGAGCTTCAAGTCTCTTTTATCTCCGGTTCTTTTAACAAGAAGAAGATACATTTCGGGTTGATCCACAAATTGTTTCTCAATTTTTTCTGATATTCTTACAGTTTTCGATCTGCTGAGGAAATTGTTTTCGATGCTTAACGATTACTGGAAAAATTTCAATTATTGTGTTTTTGACAAGGTTCTCAAGCTTTAAGTGTCCTTTGCCTTAAAAAGAAAAAGATTGGAATATTCGAGTTCATCTACAAATTGTCTCTCAATTTTTTCAAACTATATTTTTATAGCTTTTGATTTATTCCTGGGGAAATTGTTTCTGACGCAAATCAGTCTTTGGAGGAAATAAAAAGGACGGTAATTTACCATAAATAAAGCCAACTGTTACAATTCTTGCCACATTCTAAGAAGAAGAACTATTTTCAACACTGAGTATTTTTTTCCAATCATTGTATTTAATATCACCGTTCAAATATTTAAAATGGAATGAAGATCCACGCGAATATGTGGATCAGCCTAATGCAACCACTGTACGTGTACGGGGTAGTTTGAAATTTTCTGCGCGTTTTCTCGTGAAAAGATAAAACCCTGGAACGGTTGCCATCTGTTCAATTTCTAGCTCTGGTTACTGCTTAAATATTAAAATCACGTGGGTCAACTATTTTACATAAATACCAGCAATTTATCAACCGCTCCTCTCCCCGTTTTCATAACGAGGTCGCGACACCAGCCAAAACAGCCGGAAATAGATGGAATCGCGCGAGTCCCGTCGTAATTCGTGTCACCGACCTTCCCGCTTTTCATTTCCTCCGGAAAATAAACGTAATTAAACGTAACAGAACGAACTCTCACTGGATTTCGAACTGAAAGTGAGAGAGCAGTACTCTGCTGACCGCGTCGGCTAGATTTCCAGCGAGGAACGCTTTCTCGAACGGGAACAGGATCGGCGTTCTATTATGATGTCACTTTTAGACAGTAGATCTTCGAATTGTTTCACTGACAACTCGAGGATGACGCAATCATCGCAGAAAGAAAGAGAGAGAGAGAGAAAGAGAGAGCAATCCGTCTTTACTCGACAAACCATTACTGTAGTATCGAGGAGTTGCATTTTATTGTACAAAATTATCATTATTGCGTAGAAATTTTCGAAGAAATATTGGCCAAAGAATTTCTAAAATTTCTTTGTTTTTCGTTGTTACGTTTTGCTCGTGTTGCTGCATTGTATGTATACAGGGTGGTCGATTTAAATGAGGCATGAATATCTTTTTGAATTTCGATGATACAAAAAAATATCTTTTATCCTATCGGAGAAAAGTATGCAACATTCATGTAAAATGAACTAGAAATGCTCATGCATGATGTAGATATTCGTCCCAAGAAACATCAATGACTTTAAAAGTTCCTTGAGAAAAATGGAATCAAATCAAAAATTCTTATCAGTTATAGGTCTTTCTATTCTAAAAAAATATTTTTCGTCATATCGTGAAAAGATTTACGGTGTGATATGGTACAGTAGAGCTTCATTTATTTGAACCCTTTGGGAAATAAATTATTTTCTGTAGTTTATACATATATTAGGAGTTTTCTCAAACAGGTAACACGTCGTAGCCTGTGAGTTCTGTACTCTGACAAAATAGAGTTCCACTGTACATACAAATCGTTGCGTAGTAAATTTATCTTGCCGTAAATGTACATTTACTTTATATAGCATTTGAAATCTGGGATTGTTTTTTTTTTCTCGAACTTCGTAGTTAGTAAGCAACATGTGAAACGTGACCGAACACATGTAAATTATCATTGACGTTTCACGAAGGAGAAGCAGGCGAGAAAGTATTGTTTCCACGCTCGTTTTACTCGCATGTTTTATGATAATTGAATAGCCCCGTCTGCTTTCCAATTCGGTTTAGCTGCTGCCGTTTCGATAAGGGAATGCCTGCTTCTGTTTCGAAAGATAACTGGGCCACATGTGAGAAACAGTAGGGGGACAACGCGCCATCTCCCTGGAATTGCGAATATTTTCTAAGGATTATTAGATCAGCAGGCACCATCGCGAGTTTGTATGGATTTTCCTGCGCGAAGCTTTCGTCGAGATATCGGCGCAAATTGTATTGAAAAATTTGTTTACCGATTCGGCTAGAACGTATCGGTACACAAGTCCACATCTTGGGTTGATAATTACAAAAGTTACATACAATTTCATTTGTTTCCCGACATGCTGTACGCCGTACGGGTATAATGTTTGAAACTTTAAAGAAATGAAGTGAAAATTTAGAAAATTATATTGCAACCAGAGCTGGTGTTATAACTTCGTGATAATTCACCGGATCGCAAAGTTCAGGAACGACAAGGGACGAAACGTTTGCCAAACGAATGCCAAGTGGCACTCGGCCGCGAACCGAGACACGTATCGCCGAGAAGATGTCGCGTATAATTAACGCGATTCGTATCGCGTTTATTGGATGGCAGATGTAAGAATACTCGGCGACATTCGTGCCGGTTGGCTGTCCGCCAAATCGAGATATACGCGCGCGACCGTGCCACGTTTCGTGGCCACCGAAACGAGTGAAACAGTCGCGCGGACAAAGCGCTCGTGGACGGGCAACGAGGTGAAAGATGCATCGCGATTTCAGCCTCGTTTCACCACGGCCCAGCCAGCTGACGCTCTGTAATGTCTGCCTCTCTCACAATCTGTCTTGCATTCAAGACCATTTCACGCCGTTTTATGACTGAAGCGGACTGGAACAATCTATCGATTGTTTTTTCATTTTCAAAAAAAACACTACTACGACAGCGAGTCTAATAGCAGTGAACGCAACAGTAAGAAAAATCGATGGTATTCATCGATCGATTCGACGAGCTACGTACACGCGATTAAATTATTTGCAACTGAACGGCAAATTGGCGCTTGTACACCGTTCTCTTCAAACTGATACGTACGCGTTTAATTCGAAATAAATCTCCAGCAAACAGAACAAAACCTAAAAATTCCAAATGACAACTCTGTCTCAGCCTTTGAATCAAATCTTCGATCCAGCAGTTTCGCTAAACAAACTAACCTGGCTCCGAGTACACAGGATGGCCAAACTTGCCGGCCACCTGCTGCAAGAAGATCCCGCTGGATCCGTGCACTCCGTGGGACAGCATCTGCACCAGCGTCCCGACAAACAGCACCACCCATCCCCAGCCTCCTTCCGGGTAGTAATGTTGCTTCAACGTGTGCAGTTGCTTTAAATCAGCCAGCAACTGCTTGGAATTGTGCGCGTGGCCGGCGGCGGGCGATTGCTCGTTCCCGCTGCACGCCACGCCGCTATCGTGCACGGACAATCGTGGCAGGGACTTGCTCCGGTACAGCAACGACGCAACCGGGGTCTCGCGTTTCGTCTCTCTTCCGTTTCGATTCTCTTTCGCGTTGTTCTCCCCGTTGTACAGTCGCACCTCGCACTCCAACAGTCCCGAGTATTTACACGGCGAGGACTTATCGTGAGAGGAATGCGGCTCGCCGCAGTTCGAGCACTTGGCTCGACCGGATTGGTTCTTCCTCGCTTGTTGACGAACGGGCGTCACGTCGTTTGAGGATCGAGGTTCGCTGACGCGAGGGCTCTCCTGGCTGGCTGACGATCGAGTTACCCTCGTCTCGACGTCTTCGCGTCCTTTTATCGCCGACTCTGTCGCCCTGTCTATCGGAGAATCGGCCAGTTTACGAGGTGCTTCTGCTCGAGATCTTGCCAAACCCTCGACCCCACCTCCCGTCGTCGTATCAACGATCAAATTCCCGTGACCCCGTGGTCTACGCGGCGGTGAAAGTTCGCGTCGATCGTTCTTACCGGCGCTCTCTCGCGATCCACGATGCTTGGTCGAACCTGCCAGTTTATAGATAACCATGGCGGAGATCGACGCCTGACTGTTCTCCGGCTTCTTCCTCGACTTCGTTCGACTGCTACTCGGTTTCCTAATCTGTGTCGAATTGTCGGCCCCGAGGTCCACGTTGGCCCGTTTCACCTCGGCCGAGAACTTTGTTTCCTGCCAAATCGAATCTTTCGGCTCCTTCGTCTCCACGTTGAAACTTTGTTTCGTTTCGTCGAGCTCCGCGGTTCGCCAACTTTTGCTCGCTTCGTCTTGAACGAAGGCAAAAGGCAATCCGCTCCTCCCCGGGCGTTCGTGGACCATTGAGTTTCGTCCTTGAGCTTCGTCTTTGCCGGATGTCCCGCGATGGTCCTCTGCGACGACCGCTCTTCCCATTCCGTCATTCTTATTCGTGACTTTGCGTCCCCTCTCGACGTCGTTGGCGATCTTTTCACTCGAATTTCTTTCGGAATCGCGGGGGATCGATGACTTGTTGTTGGCGGCTGTCGTTGGATCGTCGCCGATTTCCAGATCGACGCGAGAGGCAGCCATTGTCAGCCTCTGGCGTTCTCAAGCCTCTTCCCATTCGCGTCTTCGTCGTCTTCGCCGTTTTCGTCGCCGATTCTCTGTCTCGTCTGCCTCTTCCATTTCCCCTTCACCGAAGGATCTTCGATTCTTTACTTCACTAAGAAAGAACTCTTCGACGAGAGAGAGAGAGAGAGAGAGAGAGAGAGAACGACTGGATCAAGTCGCGACGATCGAATTGCCTGCTCGACTCGTACCTCGAGAATCAAAGTATCCAATGCTCACGAAGACGCACATTTTACATCGTTCACTTTTCGTCTATTTTGCGAAACGACGTTCTACCGTCAATTTTCTCTCTCTCTTTCTCTCATTCTTAGATTCGAACTTGCAAACATCGCGTTCGTTCTGACGTTGACGTTAGGAGGACGCAAGAGGATTTCGTGCGTACGTACTTTTGACTTGCAGTCGCAGTTACACAATTCTGTTGTCCGTTGTCACTACCGGTGACAGTAGATTATACTCGCTCGCTAGAGCGTAGACAGGAAAGCTTCTTCAGCTTGTGGCAAATTCGACCGATGCTAGGCACGTGATCTAGGGTGGCAACGTGATACCGATTTGAAGTTCGCGTCGAGGATACGAACGGTGGAAGGAACCGAGCGCGTCACGCTCAGCAGGCAAACTGGCCGGAGAACCGCGCGTCGGTTAAGAATCGTGCGGCTGTCCGCGCGGCCACGCTCGACAGCTGCGCTTCTGGAGCCAAAGCCGGAGGAATCCCTCTCTCTTTTTCTAAACCCCCTCCCCCGCGCTCCTTGTTCCAGAACTTTGCCTGTTCGCGGAATGCGCGTACGTGCGTTCAGGTTCGAACGTTGTTCCGATGGCAAAACCGGAGCAATTGCGCGCGAGTGATGCCGCTTTCCATCGGGAAAGCTCGTTGCATAAGTGACGTTTGTCCGTCTGTTGCTTGAAACGGAGGTAGGAGATGTAATTGTTTCGGCGCAAAATATTCGAGAGGTTTAAAGAACGCCAGAGCGAGGTAATTGTTCGTTTGGATTGGTAATTCAGTAGCTTTCTTGTGAAAAAAACTCTGTGGATCTGCGACGAATACTCGCTACTGTTCGAAGCTTATATATTTTAGTAACGTTTAGTTTCATTTAATTTTTCTTAGCAATATCTTGTGTATTTATATGAAGTAAATAGATAAGATTAAGTAAACAGATGAAATAAGAAGATGGAATTAAATAAATTTAAATTAATCGATTGTACACTTTAGTATTGATTCTCTGTAATATCTATTTACATAAGAAAAATAGATAAGATACATAGATCAGATTAAAGAAATATTTAAATTTATTAAATGATTGAATTATTACGGTAATCTTAATTATTACAATATTATAGTATTGTTTATCTAATAAATATGAAAAGAATACGTTTTCTAAAAGTAACAATCGTCAGTTATACTTATTTATTTTCTGCCCGCTAATTTACCGTGCAATAATCATTTTTGACGAAAAAGTCTCATGGTCGTTAGTCTGATAGAGAGATCGGTTGTCACGATAAGTAGGAAAAAAGTTCACTTTCTTCGCGAGGGAAGTGTGTTTAAAGTTATAGCCGAGTCATAGATAAGATACCTTGCAGGAAAGTTTGTTGTTTGATACATTCCACCCACGTAGTTCTACGATTAAGATATAGTTAGTCGATATACATTTTGCTGCCATATAGTTCTAGATTACGAGCGTGTTTTGGATACTTTAGGCGCCGCAAATATGTGCAACTTTATGGCAACGTATCTGATTAATGCTAGAACTTAATTTTGACAATTTTTACTTAATTTTTACAACGGAGAAAGGCAGTTTTAATTTTTATTGTTCTATTTTCAGTCTTTTCCTCTTTTGTTTTTAAATAAAGATCAACTCCTCTTTAAAAAGAAACTTTAATTAAGAAATTTCCTGAGGGAAAATTTATTTTCGTCGAAATTCGGAGAAATGTAAAAATGCGCGTGTAAAGTGTCCAAATTAAAAAATAATTCGCTTTAATTAATTGAATTTGCGTAAACACCCTCAATAAATTGCAGTACGTTGGCATTAGTATTTCTTATAATTAGTGACGCAACATTTTCTAAAGACACTCGACTGGAGTGTTCAAACGAGCAATAGTCCCAACGTACTTCCCTAATATTCCTGGCAGTTTCTATAATTTTCCACGTTCCTCGCAATAACTTCGGCTATGATGTAAAACGAAACACCAGCCAAGCACCGAAAGGTGTCTCGAGTTTAATCTATCCGAGTCGAGCGTTTCATCCGACGCGCAACCCTCCGCCTTTTTCGGCATCGCGGAATTATGCTCGCCGAGTTCTCGTCGGTATATCGAGAGTAATTTCTCGTCAGTGAAATAAAAAAGGCGAGATTGCCGCCGATGATCCTAACTTTTTTATTTGCGCGGGAAGCCTTCTCGTTTCGTTCACCCCCTTACGCCCTTGTAAGGGGAAATCCCTGTTCATTGCAAACATCCGTCTTTATATATATACATAATATTCTATATATATATATATATATATATATATATATAATATACTGTATAATATAAATATAAATATACTATAGTATATACATAACATTCCATATATATATACACACAGAATCGTCGACCTTTCAACGTTCACGCGCATCATCAGCCAATATTTCATAAATTCAGCGTTTTTCCTGTCTAGACAGAGCGTTAACACGTTCATGTTAATAACATACCGCACTGCCTCATTAACTCTGCTTCATTCTCTGAAATATTAGAATCTGCGAAGTGGCAATAGAGATCGATCAACGATAAACGCGAACGCCTGCAGACATATTTCTAGCATGTAATTAACGCTGTTTGTAACGTGATTCAGATGTTCATGGTCGAATACATGTCGAGAAGTATCTAGGATTAAATATACGTCGATGTAATATCGGAGTGAAGGTTAGGCAGGGGCGAATTGTTCGATCAATGTTGAGCGATATCGTCGTGAAAAGAACCGGCTGTCAGTTATTACACGTCAAGATGACGTGTTCGGCAGGCTCATAATGCCTGGCAAGAAATCGCTCCAGATCTTTGTTATGGGTTTTAGATCGTCGCGTTAGCGATGAAACGGTATGGCCATTTGCGTCACGATCTGTTATTCGCGGCTTTCGACCCCTTTTTCTTGCTTTAATAAAAATGGAAATTAGATTTTGATTATTCTCGATGAGTATTGAACTACGTACGTATGTATGTAGCTGAGACACACAGTTAAGCTTGTCTTCTTAAATTACTCAGGGCATGTGTGATACTGCAACGCGCATAAAATTTAAATATTCTTTTACGTTGGTCCAAAGTTTCTTTTCGTCAGATCTCTCTTCAGTGTCTATTGACAGTTTTTAACAAATTTTTAAGCAGACAGGCTTAACTGTTTCAACTACATACGTGATTCAGAACATGTGTGATATTACAGCGTGCCTGAAATTTAAATATTCTTCTCTATTTTACGCTGGTCGAAAGTTTTTTTTCGTCAGATCTTTTTAGTGTCTACTGACAGTTTTTAAAAAAATTTTCAGCATACCGCCCAAATTTTGTAAAGATACGACTCGCTCTGTATCGACTGCTTTCTTCGGATCTTGCACGGTTTAAACGTAGAGTGCGCTATGATGTTCGCTCTGTCCTAGTCGGTAATTCAGGTTGAATGTCGTAAAAATTCCCTAGATCTTTGACGACGTTGAAAGATGTCACTGTACGACGCGCCCGAAGCGCTAGTCGTAAACGCGGTGCGATAATACGAACGTTACCGCGGGCTATGAAACTTTGTACGAATACTCAGCGTTTATTTTTAGAAATAACAAACAGCCTTTGCATTCGCGGCGTCGTGGTATTATACGGGCCGTTAATGCACTTTATTGGCCGCGGAAAAAACGTTTCTCTCCATTATTGACAGAAACTCGAAAGCCTAAAGTTTCAAATCAAAGCAACAATGTTCAAATTTCTTTGAATCCAAGTACGGAAATCTTACGATTTTTTTTGAAAACGTTTTGCCTTTTCAAATTGATCGACAAAAATTTTGGAGAAGTTTCTTTTGCAAGAAACATCTTCGTACGGGTGATTGGATGGAACAGTCATCCATCTTGACAAATGTATCGAACGATGCTACGGTATTTGCGCTAATAATAGCGATTGAGCTTGAGAACTGTGACAAATGTCTTACACAACTGCCGCCAAAAGTTTCTCCCATAAAAACTGTTGTTTCACATGTTGCCTTTAAGAGCAGTTGGAAAGAACCGCGTAAGAAATCGATGGGAAGACAAATCGATACGAAAATAACCAATAAACAGAATGGCGAGGAACGAAGCAGTAAAAGCTCCTGTTATTAGCTTAAAAACTGGGTTGTCTGTGGCATAGTCGATAAAAATTTTGGAAATTTCAGAAATTCCGAAATTCGTAAATTTGAATATTCGAAACTACTAGTAGGTTCCAATTGTTTCCACTTGATTTTCATTTCCAATCATTCCGTGTTGCAAAATTTGGAGAATTTTGAAAATTTCGTACAGTAAATAGGACGTATCTCTCATGCTTTCCAGTTGTATCGTAACTATACCAGGAGGCAGGGACACGATCGTGTGGACTTTGCCAATTAAAAGACAGTTTCGATAGGAAGCTGCATTCGCCACTTGATGGAACTTCGCCACACGATTGCACAACCGAACCATCTGCTTCTCGTAAATTTTCAACAAGATTATTTAGTGGAACTTAAACTTCCACAAAGGAGAAGTGTTCCTTTGATGTTTCACCATCAAACGCGCCGTCGCTGTAAAATAGATCACGGCAGACCCCTAATTAAACATTTGTTGCGTGCGGTCGCGCGTTGCAACGATGCTAATGGCCCAATAAAACGGGATTTATGAAAATTGCTATTATCTTTTGCGCCGCGAGATAAATTGTTACGAACGCTATGCGTCAAAAGCGTTACCGTAAAGTTCATCGAGAATAAAGCCTCCGTGGCTTCAAAGTGGTTTCACGTGTCTCATTTTGCACAATTTCGCGTTCCATTTAAACAGTGTATCAGAATGTGCTATCATTAGTACATAGAATTGTACAATGTACAATTTCAAATATTTGGGAGGTTGAACGATTAATGAGGAGTCCATGATTCTTATAAAAGTAACCTTATTCCTTACGAAGTACAAAATTCCATGGACCAACAAACAACAAATTGGCGGAAATTCTCCTGAAATTACACGGCGATAATGTGACTCCCTTGTCTTCTGTCTCAAACGAGGGTCTGCGTCGCGCGATACAAGATCAACCCCAAGCTCACTTTCCGAGCAAACTGCGCGCCATCAACCCCGAAATCTCCAAAATTCAGTACGGTCAACTTTGTTACGCTCGGTTCAGAAATGGACGTTTGCAAACTCACCGGCAGTATGCAGAGGATGATGATAAAACTTGAGAGTGGCTGGTAGCGCGAGAGTGGCCGGTACGGAGAGTTGCAAGCCCGGCCCCAGCAGATGTACCAACGTGCCAACGACCGTGACCACCCATCCCCAGCCACCTTCCGGGTAATAATGCCTCGACAGTAATCGCCTGGCTTGGACCTGAGTGCTGCCGTTCCGCGGCTGACAATTCCTCCCGTCTCGCTGGCCTCTGCTTGCTCTCTGCTTCCTCTCCAGCACCTTCCCTCCAGCATCCGAACGATCGTTCTCGCGTTCGAGTTTCGCGCGCGGATCCAGAAGCGGCCAAG